AGGATCAGCTCGCCATCGTCATCTCCTCCGTGCAAAGATAGCGTGAACACTGGGGAATCGATAACACCCTGTTTCCACATCATGATTATGGTTGACATCTCCCAGATATTCACAGACGGATCGGTACTCCCTTCGTTCAGGTACGCCAGCCCGAGGCCCATGAGTCCTTCCATTGGGCTTCCGAAGAAGCCAGTGAATAGGTACAGCAGATCGGCACCACCCATGATGATTTCGAAACCTGGAAGATCCCCGACCTGGACCTTTTCCACATACGCGGCCCCCGTGGCGTTCCCGACGCCATATGTCGAAGTGAAATTTGTCAACGGTTTGGCCGAGAACTCGTGGCCTGGCTTCCCTTTCGCCTGGCAAGTGGCACAAACGCCCTGCACCGGGCAACAGGTCGCAGATGTGGTAGGAACCCACAGGGGCCCCGAGCCCAGATCGATGTTGACGGGCACCTCTCTCGCGTCGCTGCCTAGCGAGATGTTCACGAGCAAGATACCGCCTCCAAAGAAGCCCGTCACCGCCACCCGCTCTGAGAATCTCGGAGATTGAGCGCCAGAGGCACGCACGCGGCTGATGCGCAAGCGCTGGAACTTCTTGGAAGAGGACTGCCTGTGCCCCAGCGAGCCGCGGCGCTGCTGGAGGAGCGCGCTGTCGTCCGCCTCGCCGGCCTCGCTGGCGCACCCGGGCGCCGCCGGGCAAGGGCCACGCGCGGCCTCCGGGCTGGCCGCCCGCGCCGACAGCGCGAGGCCGAGCGCGGCAAGCGCTCGCAGCATCGCCGCCGGGCCCGGGCGAGAAGCGATATTGACTACCTACCAGACCGCCCCAACCCAACCCGAAGACTCGAATTTCGGGTTGGGGGGGGTAAGGGTTCCACCCGTGTTTTTTCGATGTTTCCCGACCCCCCCCCCCAACTGGAAATCGAGGGTAAATCTGAGCCTTCGGGTTGGGTTGGGGTGGTTTGGTGGGTGGTGAGATATGGGGCGATGTGCCCGTGCGAGCCCAGACCTTGAGCCAAAATGGCTACGGAGGAGGAGGAGGAGGAGGAGGAGGAGGAGAAGGAGGAGGAGGAGGACCTTTTTGGACCTTTTGGCAAGCACAGCGTGCGAAAAAGGAGAGCGGGAAAACGGAGGAAGGGAGGCCAAGCACCCTGGTGGCTACTCGTTAGCAGCCACCCCCGACTCCCCTTCCTCCCCGCAAGGTTGGAGAGTGAGTGGGTACAGGGCTTGCCCCCCTGGCACGCTGTGCTGCATCCCTGGCGGCGCACGCAGCCGCAACCCTCTCGTGCGCTATGGCCTGTGAGGCCCGAGAGGGTCCAGCGAAACTTGGGAACAGACCACGTTGAATGCGGCTCAAGTTCTCCCTCCCCTTTCGGGAGGGGGTTCCACACTCGCCTGTTAATTGTCGGGCGTCGACCGTGGCGGTGCGACCGCACCGAAGACAAAAGTGCAAGGAATGCAAGTCCCAGTACGCCAAGCGGTGGGAGAGGTCGAGATCCCGCTCACCAATCGAGAGACCGCCGCGGACCGCCAGAACAACGTCACGAGGAAACCCCGAGGGAACGGCCTGCGGCGAAAAGCACTCAGACTCCAGGGCCTCTAAGAGGCACTGCTTGGAAGAGATAACAGCACAACGCTGGCACCTGAATCAGGTGCCCACGGGAACAAATATATGAGCACTCTCTCTCTCGCGGCGAGCACGAGGCGGGTCGCGGGCCTAGGTCGCTCAATCTCCGACGCAACCTTGGGCCTCTTGGGGTCCACTAGGGAGGCCTCCGCAAGGGCCCGCCGAGCTCTCCGTCGAACTAAAGCTGCCGGAGGAGGAGGAGGAGGAGGAGGAGGAGGAGGAGGAGGAGGTGAACACGGACCACCAGGAGCCCGAGACCCAGGAAACCGGCGGGCGGGGCCGAACATCTCGTGGCGTCGGAGCACGGTGTTCCTCCCGTGGCGTCGGAGGCATCTCCCTCGCACAGACGAACAGATGATCAAGAGAAATAAATATGATTTAAGAAACCTGGGCCGACTTTCCGGAGGCGTCATAAAAAGCAAGCCTGGGCCAGCTTCTGCGGTCTGTCGACGCCGGAAGGGGCGAACGTGCTCCAGGAGCTGGGCCAGCTTTCCCGCAAGCCCGAGTGACACGGAGCCCATCTGGGATCGGACCGGAGAGTCGCGCCGCCCCGAGAGAGAGCAGCGCGCGCTGCTGAAGCCTGAGCAGCGCTTGAGTCTCCTGCGCGGGCGGCGGCGAGGGATCCTGGGTCCGAAAACCTGCACCCCCCACTTTCGGCGGTGGACAGAGCTCCCTTTAGTAAACCTCCCTCTAGTGAAACCGGCCTAGGACCGAAGCCGACGGACCTGGAGCCGCATAAAATGCCGGCCGCGACGCCCCGTCGCGAACCGAGAACGGCCAACTCGCTGATCGAAGTGTCAGGGTAGGAGGTCCACCAACATCCGACACCCTCCTTCCCCGACGAGCGCCGGACCAACAGGCGCTCGAACATGCAAGATTCCCTCGCTCCCTGCGGGATCGACATCGGGCCGCCCGGCCCAGAGCGTTGCCTGTCTGGGGGCCGCTGACCAACCTTGCGAGCAGGGCCAGGTCGGGCCCAGGAGAGGCCTGGGAGATCCTCGAGGGCCAGCGGCGACACCAGTATACCCCCTGCAGGAGGCAGTACAGCCCCAATACTCTTAGGTCGGGCATGTCCTCCTACAGGCGGCTTTTGGAAAAGAAAACACCAACATTCGAGAATATGCCCCAAATAAAAAATCAAACATTCGGCATTTTTGGCAATAATAAGCGTTATAGGGGGGGCGGGGAGGGGTATAATGCAACGCTCCCCCTCCGCCGTGTGGCTCCGGCACCACAGCAGCGCCCGCGCGCACGACGAGCGACGAGCGACGAGCGACGAGCGACGAGCGACGAGCGACGACGACAACGACGACGACGACGACGACGACGACGACGACGACGCGAGCAGCATGTAGGTCGCGACCTGCCCACAGCGCCTGTGCACACCAAAATGCTCGCGTGCACCACAGCGCGCGTGTACACCGCAGTGCCTGCGTACACCGCAACGCAGCGCCTGTGTACACCACAGTGTTTGCGTGCACCACAGCGCGGGTGTCCACCACAGCGAATGTGCAACACCGCAGCAACCATGTGCAACACAGCGCCTGTGTACACCACAATGCTTGCGTGCACCGCAGCGCCTGTGCACACCACAGCGCCTGTGTACACCACAATGCTCGCGTGCACCACAGCGCCAGTGTACACCACAGCGAATGTGTAACACAGCAGCAAGTGCCTGTGTACACCACAGTGCCTGCGTACACGTTATAGGGGGGGCGCCAGGAGCTATAATGCCCATTACGCCCCAAGCAACAAAGAAACACGCTCATGGCGTCTTTCTCCGTGTGCCTGAAAACCGTGCGGTGGCGGCCCTTGCGGCGACCTCGAAATCCTCAAAAGGAATCACCACCTGGTCCGTCATCGCACGGTTCTGGGACCTCCGATGCCCCAGCCGCCCGAGTCGCCCCCGGAGGACGACCCAAATCCCAAGACCGTGCGACCATCCCGGATGCCCAACGACTCACCGTGCCCAAGGTGTGGTTGGCAAGGCGTCGGATACAGACAACCCCCCCCCCAAAGGTGCACGGGTTCCCCCGGGGCCGCAGGCGACCTGAGGAGGATGAGGAGGAGGAGGAGGAGGAGGAGGAGGAGGAGGAGGAGGAGAGGAGGGAGGAGGGGGGAGGGGGACGAGGAGATGGAGGGAGGAGGAGGAAGAGGAGGAGGAGGACGAGAGGAGGAGGAGGAAGAGGAGAAAGAGGAGGAGGAAGGAGGGAGGGAGGAGGAGGAGGAGGAGGAGGAGGAGGAGGAGGGAGGAGAGGAGGAGGAGGAGGAGGAGGAGGAGAGGAGGAGGGAGGAGGAGGAGCAGGAGCAGGAGCGAAGGAGGAGGAGAGGAGGAGGAGGAGGAGGAGGAGAGGAGGAGGAGGGGGAGGAGGAGGAGGAGGAGGAGGAGGAGAGGAGGAGGAGAGGGAGGTGGAGGGTGGAGTGGAGGTGGAGGTGGAGGTGAGGGGAGGTGGAGGTGGAGAAGGAGAGGAGGAGGAGAGAGGAGGAGGAGGAGGAGGAGGGAGGAGAGGAGGAGAGAGGGAGGGAGGAGGAGGATGAGGAGGAAGGAGGAGGGGAGGAGGAGAGGAGAGAGGAGGAGGAGGAGATTGGAAGGGGGAGGAGGAGGAGGAGGAGGGAGGAGTGAAGGAGGAGGAGATGGAGGAGGAGGAGGGAGAGGGGGGGGGAGGAGGTGGAGGAGGAGAGGCAGAGGAGGAGGAAGGAGAGAGATGAGGAGGAGGAGGAGGAGGAGGGAGGGAGGTGGAGGAGGAGGAGGAAGAGGAGGAGGAGGCGGGAGGAGGGAGGAGGGAGGAGGACGGGTCGCCCAAGCCCTTCGGAGAAACCCTCCCCCCCCAAGCAGTCCTGGCTGGCCCCAACAGGCCCCCACGGGCCACGGGTACTCCAGGGCACCGCAAGAGGCGACGCCGAGTGTTGAGACCGCCCCTGACTGCTCGGAAGGCCTGTTGCGGCCAGCTGGGACTGCCTTTCGGTCGGGCCTGTCCCCCTACAGGGGGATTTAGGGGGAAAAACTAAAAACACTCACAACAGCACTCAGAAATACCCAGAAAGGACCCAGGAAATCGTCCCCAGTGCACTAGTCTACTGTTTGTGACTATTTCTCCTGTAGAGGGACAGGCCCGACTTAAGACTGCAGTCAACCCGCAGAGTAAGGATGCGCGATAAGGATGCAAGGCCCTTGGACTCGAAGCGTTTCGAGCGGGGCGCGGCCAACGAAAGTGTCCAAGGATGGACACAGGAAGCAAGGATGCTGCAAGGGTACCCTTGGGAGGGATGCCTATCCTTTCTCTGCGGGTCGACTGTGCCTGGGCCCCGCGCCACGCTGTGCCGCGCGTGCTTCTGGCCGCGGTCGGTGCGCGGGCCCGCGGGGCGGAGGCTCAGCTGGGCAGGCCAGGTGCGAAGGCGCCGGCGACCGTCTCCCCCGCCGCGGCGCGGCTGAGCAGCCGGCCATCGGGCAGGACCACGTCGACCCCGCCGGGGGTCGCGGAGCCCAGCCTGCCCGCCCGATGCTCGGGCCGGGCGAAAGGGGGGGACAGCAAAGGGGGGGGGTGAGAATCAGCTCTCACGTAGCTGATTTGCCCGGCGCCTCCCGGCGCCGGAGGCGGCCATGCAGCGAGGAGTGGGCCTCTCGGTGGGGCAGAAGCCAGCGCTGCATGCAGCAAATGTCGTACCCCCCCCTTGCCCCATCCCCCCCCTGCCGTGCGGCCCGAGATGCTCCGCCGCCAGCCGGCCGTGGACGTCCGTCAGGAGCGCGGGGGGTCCAGGGCCGACCCTGCAGAGCTCGGCTCCGCCGAGGGTCAGGAAGCGGATGGAGTCGCCGTCGGGCAGGGCCTGCAGGAGCAGCGCTGGGAGCAGGTGCGCCACGTACGTCAAGCGCCCCACCAGCGCCGGGAGGTCGCACTGACCGCAAATGTTTGTGCCGCAGGCCACGGCGGTGCCGTCGCTCCTGAGCAGAACTGTGTGGCCGACACCAGCGGCAACCTGCGTATAGGTCAGGCCCTCAACCAGTGCCGGGAGGTCGCACTCAGCGCACAGATTCTTGCCGCAGGCCACGGCGGTGCCGTCGCTCCTGAGCAGGGCCGTGTGGGACTCTCCAGCAGCAACCTGCGTGTAGGTCAGGCCCCCCACCAGCGCCGGGAGGTCGCACTGACCGCCAATGTTCTCGCCGCAGGCCACGGCGGTGCCGTCACTCCTGAGCAGGGCCGTGTGGGACTCTCCAGCGGCAACCAGCGTGTAGGTCAGGCCACCCACCAGCGCTGGGAGGTCGCACTGACCGTCAAATTTCTGGCCGCAGGCCACGGCGATGCCGTCGCTCCTGAGAAGAGCCGTGTGGGACTCTCCAGCGGCAACCTGCGTGTAGGTCAGGTCCCCCACCAGTTCCGGGAGATCGCACTGACCGGAAAAATTCTTGCCGCAAGCCACAGCGGTGCCGTCACTCCTGAGCAGGGCCGTGTGTCCGAATCCAGCGGCAACCTGCGTGTAGGTCAGGCCACCCACCAGCGCCGGGAGGTCACACTGACCGAAACTATTCGAGCCGCAGGCCACGGCGGTGCCGTCGCTCCTGAGAAGGGCCGTGTGGATCGCTCCAGCAGCAACCTGCGTGTAGGTCAGGCCCCCCACCAGCGCCGGGAGGTCGCACTGACCGAAACTATTCGAGCCGCAGGCCACGGCGGTGCCGTCGCTCCTGAGCAGGGCCGTGTGGCCGAATCCAGCGGCGAACATCCGCGAGAGGCTGGGCGGGGGCAGCGCGAGCTCGAGGCGAAGCGCAGAAGCTCGACGCTTGGGGGGCGCGGCTCGAGCCGGGACTGGTCCGCGGCCGCGGCGAGGGCGGCGGGAGGTCGGGGCCTGCCTGCTCGCCCGCGCGCGCCCCCCCAACGAGAGCTCCTCCGAGGTCTGGCCGCAGGACCCCAGACGTTTTCACCCAAGGGGGGGGGCGACCACCCAGCCTGGGCGATTGACGTTTCGCCCAGCCTGGGCGACTGGCCAGGGAAAGGCCAGGGGAATCCTCCCAGAGGCAAGGCGAGTGCTCCCTGCGGCACTCTCCCTGCGGGAGACAACTTGGGGGCCCGCCCTGGAAGGTCCGGCGTCCTCAGGGCCCGACGCTCCACCCGCCACAGAAGCTGGGCCACCACCTCCCCCCCCAGACATCCTCCTCCTCCTCCTCGTCCTCCTCCTCCTCCTCCTCCTCCTCCTCCTCCTCCTCCTCCTCCTCCTCCTCCTCCTCCTCCTCCCCCTCCTCCCCCCCCAGACCCCCGACGTCGTGACTTTTTCAGGATGTCCTTCCCGGGGACCGGTTTTGCCTCCCGAGCCGTTTCTGACAGACCCTGGGGCCTGGGGAGGGCCCCGGGAGGCCGAAGATAGCGAACAACCTCCCGTCGCGATTCCTTCACAGCGCGAGGGGGTCTGGGGCATCACCCAGGGGGGCGACCGACGTTTCACCCAACGCGGGCGACCGCCGTTCCTCCTCCAAAAAAATCTGCCAAAAACGGGACCCCAGACCCTCTCGGGGCCCACCATGGTCGGGAGAGGCACGGTCAGGGCCGCGAGCGGGCAAGTGTAATACCTCCGCGTTGTTCCCCATTGGATGCTCAATCACTACGCGTGCTACATTGCAGTAGTCATGGAACTTCTGCCCTCCTCCCTCCTCCCTCCTCCCTCCTCAAAATCCTTCCTCCTCAAAATGAACAAGTCTAGGTATCAATAGGTCTGAATGTCAAAGGCTGAGTGTTGGCGAGTCTGAGCGCGCATGAATCGGAATACGATGCCTCTGGGCGTGAACGATCTGAGTGTGAATGGCCCGTGTGTGTGATCATGGGCTTGACTGAGGTAGTATGACTCAATATGAAATTGTGTGGTATGGGCATGAGTGCTTCTTGATACAAGTGCAAGTACGTTAGGAGTGTGAGTGAGCCTGAGGATGAGGGATCAAGGCATGAGTGAGTCCGAATGTGAGCGATCCTGCAATGACTACGAGCGATCTGACTGCGAACGAACATTGGCCAGAGTGGGCGAAATAGTGAAATTATCGTGGCGGAGGACCCATGCAGTTGCGGGTACCGTCGTTGCGGGTATCGCCTTCAGGGGATCTCCTCAGGGGGCCATGAAGCATGCGAAGGGTGTGCCGATGTGGGGCGTGGCTGGCATGTGGGCGCTGCCACTGGTGCTTTAGGCAGAACGCACTACGGGGCCACGAAAAATGTGAGGGGTGCGGCGCAGTGGGGCTGGGCCGCCACTGGGGCCTTCGGTGAAGCTCCCTATGGGGCCACGAAACGCTGTACTGGGTGGGGGAAACGCATGCGAGTACAGCCACCGGGGCCTTCGGTGCAGCTCCCCATGAGGCCACGAAGCACTGTGCTGGGTTGGAGGAACGCATGCGAATACCGCCTCTGGGGCCTTCAGAGGAGCTCCCTATGGGGCCACGATGCGCTGCACTGGGAGGGGGAACCGCTTGCGAGTGCATCAGTATGGACCTTCGGTGGAGCTCCCTATGGAGACACGAAACGCTGTGCTTGGTGGGGTGACGCCTGCGGGCGGTGCCACTGGGGCCTTCGGTGGAGCTCCTTATGGGGCCACGAAACGCTGTACTGGGTGGGGGGACGCATGCGGGCAGTAGCACTGTGGCCGTCGGTGGAGCGCCCTATGGGGCCACGAAACGCCGCACTTAACAGGGGAACCGCTTGCGAGTGCATCAGCTGGGGCCTTCGGTGGAGCTCCCAACTTTTCGCTGAGTTTTGGAGCGCCCGGGTCCTCTGGGCCTCGTGACGGGTGCTCTGGATGCCGTGAGGGCCTCTCTGCAAATCCTGGAGGCACCTTGGGCCAGGGGCACTTCTAGCAACGCCCGACCATACGGGGAGATAGATTGGAGGAGAATGGAGTCCCTGCCACGGGTCGTCGTCGTCGTCATCGTCGTCGTCGTCGTCGTCGTCGTCGTCGTCGTCGTCGTCGTCGTCGTCGTCGTCGTCGTCTGCGTCGTGGTCGCCGTCGTCGCCGTCGTCTGCGTCGTCGTCGTCCTCCTCGGAGACTCCTCTCCGATGTCTCCCCCTGGGCAATTTTCCCCATTCGGCTTGCATCCTACGCGGAGGCAGTGAGCCCTGAACGCTCTCCTCTCCGGCATCTTCCCATCAGCGCCGCCCGCCACACCGTCGACCGCCATCCCCGCGGCTGCGCCTCCTCGTACAGGACGTTGGCAAAGGGGTTCCTGCCAGGAGGGGGAGGTAGAGGGAGGGATGCATAGGAAGGGGGAGGAGGAGAAGGAGGAGGAGGACGAGGAGGAGGAAGAGGAGAAGGAGGAGGACGAGGAGGGAAGGGGAAGCGCGAGGGAGAACGGGCAGGAGGAAGATCATACGCTGGAGGCGAAGAAGGAGCATGGAAGGAAGGACAAAGAAGGGGAGGGGAGGGAGAGAAGCAAGAGAGAGGAAGAGGAGGAAGAGGAAGACGAGGAGGGAGGAGGAGGAAGAGGAGGAGGAGGAGGAGGAGCAAAAGGGAGGAGGAGGAGGAGGAGGAGGAGGAGGAGGAGGAGGAGCAGCAATAGGGAGGAAGAGCAAGAGGAGAGCAGAAAGAGGAGGAGGAAGAAGAGGAGGAGGAGGAGAGGAGGAGAAGGAGGAGGAGGAGGACAACACTGAGAAAGCATGGAGCAAGACGAGGGCGGGCGACGCACTGCACCACGCGGGGATCCACCCCTTACGCCACCGCCTTGTTTATCCTCAGGGAAAACACCATACACAACTTCCTCGCGCCTTGGGCGCTTGCCCGTGAGAACCCACCCGTGTGGGGCGCGAACAGTCCTCCTCCTCCTCCTCCTCCTCACTTCCTCCTCCCTCCCTTCTCCCCTCCTCTCCTCGTCCTCCTACCCCTCCTCGTTCTCCTCCTCTCCCTTCCTTACTCTCCTCCAACTCCTCCTCCTCCTCCTCCTCCTCTTCCTCTTCCTCTTTCTCATCCCCCCCTCCTCCTCTTTCTCCCTTTCCTTCTCCTCCTCCTCCTCCTTCGAGCTTCGAGCTTCGAGCTGCTGGTTATTGAATCAATCTGACGCAGCCATCCCCCGCTCAGCATGGAGGCTGAAGGCGGGATGGCGTTGCACCGCACACAAATTAAAAGGTGCGATTCGTCCAAGCACGGGAAAGCACGGAGCCGATGGCCTCATGAGGCCACGTCTTGCAACGCTGACGGCACCTCACCCGCGGAACACTCCTCAGGTGGGACACCGCCTCCATCACCAAGGCGCTCGCACGGGAACATGCATAAGAGGTCTGCGAATTTTCAAACAGACAGCGAAGCGCCAATAGCCGCGGCACCATTCCCGGACGTGCTCACTAGAGCTACGAGGGAAGGGGGGCAAGGGGTCTGGGCCCCTGACGAGCCCACGGGCAACCCTTGAGGC